CGTGTTGTCCCGAACGCGCCCCCCCCCCCCATGATGTCCCGTACGCGCCCCCCTCCCCCGGGTTGTCCCGAACGCGCCCCACGTGCGTACATGTGGAGATTCCCCCTCACTCCCAGGGCAAGGAGGGAAGCTGCGAACATGTAAATCAACATTCAAATCCCTGCGATCAGCTACTACAGTTCAGCAGTTGAGGGATCTGTGCATGTCTGAATCCCTTGGCAGGCAGAGCAAACATATCAGCCCTGGGCCCTTGAGTAAGACCCATGACCCAAAGACAGGGAGACCCACCTCTCCAAGGGGGAGGTGCCCCTTAGGGGTGCATGTTCCATGGCCTCCAGAAAGGAGAGGGAAGGCAGACTGGGGTCCACCAAGATGTCCTGGGTTGATGACCCAACCAGGCTGCGCAGGATCTCCTTCACGTCGGCGCACCTTCCCCCATGAGAGGAAGAAGAGTGAGGTGAGGAGGAAGATGAACAGGCAGCCATCTCGCTCTGCTGCTTCACCTCAGAGGAAAGAGTGCCCAGGACTTTGCTGACAGCGACCAACTCCTCGGCATGACCCCCCACGGGGGAAGCCCTCTCCTGCCCCAACCCAGAGTCCGTCCGTGTGAGGGGGGGCCGATTGGGGGCTATTCCCACATCTGTGAAAAACAGGCAGACGCTCAGCTCAGCTTCAGGGTTCGTTATCGGAAGGTTGCCCAATCAAATTTCATTGTCATGAGCGAGACCCTTAGCCCCAACCCCCCCCAGGACTGTCTGACCCTGATTCAGTTGTATATCTACCCGCAAAATAAAGAAATTGTAACTGGATCCCACCACCGTCCAGGGCCGCCTGGTCCATCACCTCCACCTCAGCCACGGTTACGGGGTCAGAGCCCGCTGTGTGAGGACGTGGCCCAAACCGGACTGTACCACAGTATGGTGATGAGAAGCACGGTACCTCTGCCCTCCCCGCCCTCGTGCGGTTCCAGGACGTCCTTGTACTTGGACACCATCAGGACAGAGATGAAGTAGACCACGGCCAGCACCAAGAACTGTGTCTGCTGGCTGTCATCCTGGAGAGTGCAGATGTTCATCACCGTGGTTAGAGTCAGAACCCTGACCACTGCCCTCCACTCCACTCCACGTCCGCGATTCCCACGGCCCGCTCCTGTGGACCCGACACCCACCCGACTCTCGTCTACGATTCCCACGGCTCGCTCCTGTGGACCCGAAACCCACCCGACTCCCGTCTACGGTCTGCGATTCCCACGGCCCACTCCTGTGGACCCGACACCCACCCGACTCCCGTCTACGGTCTGCGATTCCCACGGGCCGCTCCTGTGGACCCGACTCCCATCTACGGTCTGCGATTCCCACGGCCCGCTCCTGTGGACCCGACACCCACCCGACTCCCGTCTACGGTCTGCGATTCCCATGGCCCGCTCCTGTGGACCCGACACCCACCCGACTCCCGTCTACGGTCTGCGATTCCCATGGCCCGCTCCTGTGGACCCGACACCCACCCGACTCCCGTCTACGGTCTGCGATTCCCATGGCCAGCTCCTGTGGACCCGACACCCACCTGACTGGACAGAGCAACACAAGACAATTACTGGTTTTTGTTATCAGCTAAAGCAAACAAATCCAGTTTCCTGAGTCAGACTGAGATCACCATTCCTTCCACATGGTAAGCAGACCGAGAGAACAAATGCTGCAAACGCCCTCTCTGGACAGTGGATGCTACTGCAGGTGACATCCGGCATTGCAAATTTCACAAAGTCAAGTCAGTTTGTTTATAAAGCATATTTAAAACAACAAAAGTTGACCAAAGTGCTTTACAGACCATAATGTAACATAATAAGTATTCTTAGATAAAATAAATGAAGAGGAGGAAAAAGGAGAAACAATATATGCTCAGGTCTACTCCAGTAGGGGCAGATCTGGTGGCGAATGGAAGACTATCCACAGCCAACTGAGAAGCCCAACACAATGTTCCACAAATGAACATGAACACTCACGATCGAGGGGGTTTCTAACAGCCAGCCGGCAGATACTCACAAAGCTCCTGAAGACCACGGCCCGAAGGCGCTCCAGATCCACATCCCGTAACAGGCTGTTCCGATCGTCGCCAGGTGGGTCCGAGTCCTGCAGGGCACCGGGCCGGGCGCCACACGTGGGTTTAAACAGGCCGGACAGAGAGAAAACGCCGATCTCAAAACGAATTTCAAACAATTCTTTCATTTCATGCCTAAGTGAGATCGAATGCTGGATTTCAACATCGGAAAGGAAACAGTGATCTGCGAATCCTTTGGATTTCCCCTTATTTGTGTGTTTGATTTACATCCAGTTTCCTCTCCAGCTCTTATACAATCACTGCATATTCATTAGAAATGCCCCCCAAGGCATGTTTATTTCTGGGACTTTAAATCAAATCCGTCAAAAAAATTGGTCCTGATTACAAAAGACAAACATTTAGCATGCATGCAGGATGGTTGCCATGTTTTCTGGAAAAAGATTTAGCAGCAGAGGCAGCGTAACATGAGGGGGAAAATAGCAGAAAACTCAGTCATCATGCTACCGTTAAAGGAGATCTAAGCCATCACTCTTAATTTAGGGTGTAGCAGTGCGCCCACTGCAGCCTGCAGGGAGGAACTGCAGGAAGTACCCTGGAGCATGCAAGGATACAGAAACGATACCCCACAGGAGACATGTAAACATCATGTTCCCACCCCCCAATGAATTCTGCGTAGCATGGAGAAACCGACAAGTATCCCTCACATGTGGTGCTTTTCCACTGCCACCAAGAACCCGTACCATGAACTGGTACATTTCCATTGCAAAGTATGTGAGCCGTACAAGAGCCATAACCGTGCCGACGTGGCGCTGCTTACGAGCAGGACCAAAAGCGTGACCAAACCAAGCTGGTTGTGTCATCACCATCTGATTGGTGAAAATGCACGGAGATCCCAGTGTTTGCCATATTGATTATCTGAAGGAAAGAATGTATATTCTATATATTATTCATTGTTAGCAGTATCGCACATGGCGATGGATTCCTGAAAATTTTCAATCTCCTGCTTGAAAAAGTACTATAGAACAGCTGAACAGAATGGATTAGTAATGTAACTTGAAGCAAGCGGATGCTAATTCTGCTAGCGTTTGATGCAAACCTCAAACAGAAATTAGCACATAGCAAATTATAATAATAATATTAATAATAATAATTGCACATAGTAAATCATGATGCACCCCATGTGAACAGTAAATAAGCGTCTCTTCGGTTTTACGTCACTGTCACTCTCCAAACCCCACAATGCTTTTATGGAACCGAAACCTTCTGCAGTGGAAAACCACAGTGAGCTGGAACCACTCTGTAACTGGTCTCTCTTCACGGTATGGCTCAGTTCCTGTATGCCAGTGGAAAGGCAACAATGGCATCCCCAAAGAAGCGGGGACGCCGCAGCAGACGTCCCTCCCAGGTTGCTGCCTGACAGCGTGTGAGTGACGGTGCCGGGGGTTAGAGGCCACTAGGCCTCGCAGGTCTGCTTCACACTTGCCTGAGGGAGATGGGCTCCCGGTGGGCCCACGGCTCCAGCGAGGAGCTTCAGGCTGTTGCTATCGCTGCAGAAGACCTGCGGGCGCTCCAGGTATTTCCAGGCGGCCACAGTGCACACTGGGGGAGAGGTAAACAGAGAGCAGAGCCTCAGACCTTTTAAGCTGAACCTGACGGGGTTGAACTCCAAAGCCCTTCGATTATGGGAGCAGCTCCTGGCAGAGTGGAGCAGGTTGGTTTCTCCCCCCCGGTGGAGCGAGGCATGCTGGCTTCTCCTTCCAGAAGGAGTAAAACGGCTGGTTCTCTTTCCCAGCGGAGTAGAGCTGGCCAGCTTCTTCCTCCCAGTGGAGCGCGCCAGGTTCTCCCTCCCGGTGGAGCGGAGCGGGCCGGTTCTCCTCCCGGCGGAGTGGAGCGGGCTGGTTCTCCCTCCCGGCGGAGTGGAGCGGGCCGGTTCTCCCTCCATTAGAGCCTCTAGGTGCCCATTAATGCAGGGAGCAGGGAGCTCGTTACGGGCCGGGAATTGGACCATGCAGCAGGAAGGAGCGAGAGCGCCACCTCATCAAACATTCATTCCGTAAAAGCCAGAGCCCTTTGTCTAAAAGCCAGGCCCAGAACCGCTCAGCTCGGCTCGACGTGGGTTTTAATAACTACGGCCCCCGTTTAACAACACTCTCTTCAAGGCCTCGTTCATAATTTAGGACATGAAACATGAAGTATCTCCAATCAGCTGGTCATTAATAATGGTGCGGCCCGCTGGCCGTGTGAAGGGGTGTCACCACGACTGCGAGGAGCATGTTGGTCTCCTGCACCGCCACCGTGCGGTAAGTTACCATCACAGTGGCGGGTAAAGGGGCGGCTCACCCAGGCGCAGGCTCTTCCTCAGTGCGGCCCCTGGAGACAGCCTCCTGTCGGCCTCGAGCTCGGCCAGGCTCGGCGACTTGGAGAGCAGCAGCACGTCTGCCAGGCTCAGCAGGCGCTGCAGGAAGGCACCTGTGGCAGCATCAGACAGGCCCTGCGACGGCTCCATGTTCTCCGGGCCGGCCTTGGGGAGGGGGGGGGGACAACAGCATAACAAGAGAGAGTAGTCAGTAGGAGGGGGAAGCCACAGGTTACAGTACAGAACTGCGAATATGAACAGGTCAGGTGGCCTGTCTATTGTGAGAACCGATGGTGGGCGGGGCCTCGGAGGAAAGGGTGGAGTCTAAGACAGGGGGTGGGCCTATATGAGGGCTCTGAGGGAGGGACAGTTTCTGAGAAAGGGGGTATAGTCTCAGGGAGGGGCCAGAGCCTCTGAAGGGGCCCCGCAATTTACTCACAGAAGCGGAGATAGCAGAGAGCAGGGCCTGGATGCGGCCACAGCTCACCACCATGGTGTCCACCACCTGCAGCAGCACATGGATGGAGTTGTGCACAAAGACCAGGTTCTCAGGGTCGGCGATCCACTCCAACAGCGACCTGGTGGAGCAGCTGGAGGTGGCAGAGAGATATGGCAGTTCACCAGGAGTCGGGGTGTTTCTTAATACCAAGAACGCAAAGATCATACTTGAGTTCTTGGCAAGAGTGTTCTTGCTAACTTGCCTCCCAAAAACAAACTTCGAGCACAATGAATCATGGGATTGGTCTCATTCGTCAGGATACAACCGATGTATCCCTGATATTTGGGGTGGAGCGAGAACAACATCCGGGGAATTTTACTGTACTCAGTACTTCTGTTCTTGGTACTGGAACTGGACTTCGGCAATGGAAGATGACATAAAATGGGTACACGAGTACACAAGTGTGGTCAAGTACGAATATTGAGAAACACCTATTGTTTACACGACAGCTCCAGTGTGGATGGGTTTCACATGGAATCATGTAAGAGATCGGGTTTGGATTAGAGGATTCCGAGGGCTCCGGATCTGTGTGGCTCCCAGAAGACGACGGCGATTTCAGCTGCTCAGCGTAATAACAATTCACTGCTTCACAAAACACCAAAGACCAAAACCCCCACAGAGTATCTGTACAGCCTGCAGTACTGTCTGATCACTGCTATAATATGCAGCTTCCTGCCCGCATTTCCCAGCATCCCATAGAAATGCACAGCGCTTCCAGTTAGACAGACAGTGCTTCCAGTTAGACAAACATAGTATTTCCTATTAGACACACACTGCACTTCATGTTAAAAATACACAGCGCTTCCTGTTAGACAGACAGCACTTCCTATTAGACATACACAGTGCTTCCAGTTAGACCTACAGTACTTCAGGTTAGATATGCACAGCGCTTCCTGTCAGACACGCCACTTCCTGTTATACATACACTGCACTTCATGTTAGATATGCACAGCGCTTCCTGTCAGACACGCCACTTCCTGTTATACATACACTGCACTTCATGTTAGATATGCACAACACCCAGG